CAAGAAGGCGGTCATCGTCACCTTGTCGTCGGGTTCATCAACTTGGAGTACCTCCTCGTTAAAACGAGTGAGGTAACTCCTCAGGCTCTCCTCGCGGTCCTGCTTTATACTAAGCAGGTGCGTAACTGGCTTCTGGTGGCGACGCCCTCCTATGAAGTGTGAGACGAATGATCTGCTAAGCTCGGCAAAAGAGGTAATAGAGGCGGGGGAGAGCTTAGCAAACCAATGTCGGGCAGACCCCTTTAATGTGGTTGGGAATGCCCTGCACATGATTTCGTCTGGTACGTTGTGCAATTGCATCAAGGTCTTGTAAGTGTCGAGGTGGTCCAGTGGATCCTTTGTTCCATCAAAGGTCTCCACAGATGGCATTTTGAACTTCTGAGGGAGGGGGTAGTTTGCTACATCAGGTTTGAAAGGGGTATCAGTACGCCTTACCAGGTGGTCAACAGTCTCGGGTCCTTGTGCCTTCATGGCGTTGAAGACATCACCGAGTTGATTCTGTACCTCCTTTATCTTCTCGTGCCAATGATTGGAGGCTCTTCTGGAATGATCATGGAAGTGGCTTCCATGCCCCATGCTTTGGTTTTCACCCTCATCCTCCTGGAGATAAGGGTCCTCTCCCTGGAAAGCAAGGGAAGGGGGAGGTGCAGCTCCCTCATGTTGGGCTTTCCGAAGTGGGGTGCCCAATAGGGCACCCGGGCGTGGAGCAACAGGGCGTGGTGCTTCTTGATGTCCAGGATGTGGAGCTCCATTGGGGTGCTCTATGTTGTGCACCTCCGTGGGGCCCTCCATGTTGTGCACCTCCGTGTGGTGCTCCACGTTGTGCACCTCCGTGTGGTGCTCCACCTTGGGGTCCTCCATATTGTGCACCTCCGTGTGGTGCTCCACATTGGGGTCCTCCATGTTGTGCACCTCCGTGTGGTGTTCCTCCTTGTCCAGCAAGCATGAGTTGCAGTAACTGTTGGTTTTGAGCAACCAGTTGCTGCATGGTCTCCAATATTTGTTGGGGCTTCGGGGCTAGAGTATCCGAAACAGGGTTGATAGGCGGGGGAGCAACCTCCTCCTCTCGTGGAGGATTGTCTTCGTGTTGGTTCATGGATCGAGTAGTGATCGCCATTAGTTAATGGATGTAATGTTCAGGAGTGAGAATTTTGTCGATTCCCACAGATGGCGCCAAACTGATGATGAACAAAAATGGTTTTGCACACCACCTGTCAAGTGTAGATAATAAATGCAATGAAATCAATGAAAAAATTAAGAAGACACAATCTATAGTGGTTCGGTCAATTCGACCTACGTCCACTCTTCAATGGCTTCAGTTGTCGGGTATTTTATTGATTCAAAGGTATGGAGAATGGAGATACAAGCTTTGAGAGGGAGAATGAAGAATTAAAGAAAATAGTAATCTCCGGTAGTCGGTTCGTCTTCTGTGTGTCTCTGATGGAGCATGTGTCCCCCCTTTCTACCAGCTTGGAGGCTATTTTATATCAACTAAGAGATCATTCTTGTGGAGATCATGACATATCCTCAAGGCTTCTTTATCGCAGGTAAGAGATTATTCTTGGTGGAGATCACGACTTATCCTCCAGGCTTCTTTATCGCAGCTAAGAGATTATTCTTGGTGGAGATCACGACTTATCCGCCAGGCTTTTTTATCGCAGCTAAGAGATTATTCTTGGTGGAGATCACGACTTATCCGCCAGGCTTTTTTATCGCAGCTAAGAGATTATTCTTGGTGGAGATCACGACTTATCCTCAACGGAAGGAGGAGGTTGGGGAGCTCTTCATGAAACGTGGTCAAAGATTGGACCGTTTTCCTTCGGTGGTGCAGATACGCTTCCCATGCTCTCCTCTTGGTGACGTGCTAAGCAGGAAGTCTAACCGGTCTTGGACTGTCTTGGGCTTGGTGGAATCAAAATGAGGTTGGGCTCCCCAACTGGGGTTGGATTTTAACACATAAATTGGACTATTTGGGCTTAACCCATCACTTACATTGACCCAAAATGATTTTGAATCTGTGAATTGCTGAAATAATTAGTTTGAGTGGAGGAGAAATCAATCTGTGCATATGTATGTTGACGATAGAGAATAAAAGGAACTAGGCAGGTATTCACTTGCCCAAATCAAGTAAGAAATAAATGAAAAAATTGGCTCCAAAGTGACCCTATTGAGATGTGAAAATAAAGTTTGTACAATGTGGAATTTGACATCAATCCCACATTGGTTGAAAAAAAAATTCAACATGGGCATATATAGGCCAAGTTTGCTGTATGGGATTGGGCCCCAAGGGGTATCACAATTTTATGAGCAGAGCGAGTACCTATATGCCTTCGGTTCGCGCTGCTTGGGCTTGGGCTCGGGCTCGGATGTGGTTTCAACCAAACCCTATCTGTTTAAAGAAAATTCATTTAATTAATTGGGCATAAATTTTTTAACCTGAAATTTATTTTCAGTATCCATTGGATCGCACTGGGTCAGATTTTTGCTTCCTTCTAGTTTGAAAATTCGGATTGTGCATGTTCATACAGAACAGTTGAAACAATGGTGTCTCCTGGCTGTTGTGTCTTTTAGTACGGTGACTGTCCGAAAAGTCACAAAACTGTCTATAAATACCCAGTTCATGCATGCATTTATATTATGCAATTCATTTGTTCAGTCTATTTTCAGCATTAAGGCAAACATTAGTGTATTATAGTCTGCATATCGGCATTAAGGCAGTGTCTTGGAGAGTACACAATACAAGTTTTGGTTTACTGGACGAGTAGATTGGAGTGCTACTTTTGCTCGTGTAAAGATCATTGTATTCTAGGAGGCAGACACTCGATATTCCATAAGTACCTTGTGCGGGGGCCAAATCTGTCTTAAAGACATAGTGTCAAACACTAGCCTTAATCTACATCAACTTCAATAACAGTTCTTGTGCTGCAACTGAGTTAATATTTATTTGGGTTTGACAAACAGCTACGTGTAACTGTTTGCTGTTACTATTACGTTAGACTGCTATAACTCTTTCTTGTAACTCTTTTGTGTAACTCTTTCGTATAAGACTGTTTTTGTGTAACTGTTCCGCACTTTACTGTTACTGCTTTGTTTTATTTTAAGTTACATAATATCAAAAATTTCAATAAATGATTTTACAATATTTAGAATACCCCACAAACAACGACATTGACCCAAAATGGTTTTGAATTTGTGAATTGCTTAAATAATTAGTTTGAGTGGAGGAGAAATCAATCTTTGCATATGTATGTTGAAGATAGAGAATAAAAGGAACTAAGCAGGTGGTGGATACAATGGGCGATAGGTGATTGTATATGCTAATTTGTATGTGTGTACATGTGGGCATCTGTGTCTGTGTGAATTTCTACTCCGGGGTGAGAATGATATATATATACACCATATATGTCGGACTCTCTGAGTTTCTAAAATGAAATAGAAAGAAGAAGACAAATAGAGAAAGAGGGGTATGGTATACTTACTGAGTTGGTCTAGATAAAGATTGTAATCCTTTCCTTGAGGTGTGGTCAAAATTTTGTGCTATATATGCACTTGGGCATAGAAGGGTAATATTGGAATATTTAAAAAAATGTTGCTTACGTCATTAAAAATTTTGCGTCTCCTTTAACGGCAAACTAACAGGAAAGGAATCAATTATGGACTAACAAGAGGAGTCCAGTTGTTATTTGACCAAACCTCAAGAAAAATGAATGTAATTTACCCTAAAATTTATTTAACACATCCTCAATCTATTTGTAGTGGTGAACAATCATAATAACCAGAATTTGACCAATTTGCTTTACTTGATTGTAGAAACATTTCTAATAAATCATACTGCCAAGAAATAATAGATCAATTTCAAATGAAAAGCCTAGTACTGATTGCAACAACAAGGCACCTCCTAATTCTATGTATGGTATACCTTACATGTGCGTTGATGATACATAAAAGTGGGTTTATACACCACTTGTCGAGTAATTAATATATATAATAAATGCAGTAAACATAAAGATGAGATCAGCACAAGCAACATACAGATATATAGTGGTTCGATTAGAGTGACCTACTCTACTTTGAAGATGGCAACGGTGGGCGAAGACCTTTATTGATAAAGTAGATGATATGATAGAGAGCACGAGCAAGCTCTAGGTGTGGTGAGGTAGCTATATGAGAGAGAGATAGATGTGTTCCTCATGTGTAGAGGACTTACAATTTATAGGCAAAAAACCCTAGTTGAAATAGTGGCGTGAGGGATATGTTACTAGTCCTTCGAGGACGATAGCTACAGCTAAACATATGTACAATTAAAAATAGGCTTGATCTTTGAGTAGTGGTTATACCGGTATTTACTCTCCACGTGCGCTGACTTCTTGGGTCTCTTGAATTCTGCACTGGACCGAGGCCATGTGCTAGACTTGACCTATCTTCTAATTGATTTGGACTTACCTCATGAATTGGGCTTTGAGCTAGCTAGATATGGGCTCATTATTTGCCCCTCATGCCCCAAGCCCCAATTGTGACAAAAGGGGTTGAGGTTATGAGTGAGCCTTTTCATCTAGACATGCAAAAGGTTTCTTTTTCTGCACGGTGGTAGCTTCCTCAACTTCTTGCACCTTGGGAGCTCATTTTTCATTTTCTGAGCTTTATCACGGGATACCCACTGTATAGCCATCAGGTTAGAGGAAACTTTACCTCTTCACATTGAAAACCCCTTTCCTTCATTTAGGGCATCATTCTTAGTACCCTATTGATCAGTACGTATAACCCAGAAAACAATTATTCATGCTTGCATTTTTTTTTTATTATCTCTTGGATTGGAGCTAAATACCTCTTTTCTCTTCATTCTTGTAGACTACTGGACAAGAGACTCACCCAGGAAGGTGGAGCATGGAGACCAGAGGAAGATTAATTGAAACGATCAAAGTCGTAGGTGACCACACAACGGAATCTCAATGAATACCATTTGCCATAGCGGTCCTTGTCTTAGGTGTGGCGAGACCTAGCTTTGGCAACGCCATGGCAATGCCATGGCGGAGCCCAAGGGGATGCCAAGCTATGTGGGCGAGGGCAGCGCCAGGGGAGGTGATCTCGGCGATGCTAAACAAGGCCTCAGCTTGGGCAACAACACTGATCCTGCAGACGACAATGCCATCCTTCTGGACAGCGTGGGCGATGCTCCTTGTATTAGCAGAGAGGATCCAAATGACGCTGGCAAACTGGGCAGTGGCGCCCCAAGCGCAAAAGGTACCAACGACACCTTCCCAGCTTCTACGGCGCCTAAGCTGCACGTGGAGGCGCTGACGACGCCTTGGGGCGAGGAGTCACTAGAAACAGCGCCAATTGCGTGGAACCTGTCAGGCAATGCCTTGGGCGGTTGGCGGATCTTGGTGGAAAATCAGGCTGCACCACCCGACGATCTAGGCTATTGTACAACACTGTCGATGAGGAGTTAGGTATTGACAAACAACCAGGCACTAGGATCCTACAGACAATTGTCTGGCATTGATAGAGGTCAGCGAGTAGCTGTGTCAAGCGGGGCTTAGTCATTTTGGCATTTTCTTGACATTAGCTTTTTGACTTTGTCTTTGTCTTTGACATTGGATTTGATTTTTGGCAAGCACCCACTTTGACAAAGGCATGAAGAAGGATCCTACACTAGATTCACATTGAGGCAAGGGGACCGTTGTGGGTGATAGTTCGAAGGTAACCTCCATATTTAGTTTAATTGATTGTGATGATGATGTTTCCCACATTGTGTCATCCTATCGTATTTCCCCCACTGTCATGTGTCACCGGGTCGAGATGGACTAGCCGATGTGCTTCAACTCTTCTGGGGAGATTATTTTTTATAAAGACGTCCTGGAGACGGGACTAAGATTTCTTATTCATGGTTCTATCTATCGGATCCTAGGCTACTTGTCACTCACTCCGGGGAGATTGACCCCGAATGGTTGGAGGGTAATTTTGGCGTTCTTTTCATCATGGCGGTTGGTTCATGGCGAGAGTGCTTCTCCCCTTTTTGAGGAGTTCTTGGCCACATATATGCTTTTAGATAGCCCTACTCCTCATCAAGGTTGGTACCATTTTTCCTCGAGGTCGGGCAAGTTTATTATTGGGCTGCCTTCGAATTGCCATAGTTGAAAATCTAGGTTCTTCTTTATTGGAGGTGGGTGGGCCACTAAGAAAGATCATGACCTTGTGCCTTCGAGGTGGGACACTACTCCAAGGACCAAGTTAGGTAAAGGTTTTACCTTTGCTTTTACATTGACTATTATGTCCCTTGTATTCACTACATGTTTGGTTCTTTTGCAGCTCCACCCATGTTATATGTGGAGCAAGAGAGTAGGCTCCAAGCTATTCGAGATCATCCTATTAAGGAGTTCATGGCCTCCGTATCCGCGGTTGGTCATCCAAGAGCCTCCCCTAGGCAGAAGAGAAAAGGTATTTGATCCTTCCAATACACTTTGATGATTGTAATACTGTAGGTTCTTCGTCTTATACCAGTTCCACAAGTCCAACTGTTGATAGAGCGATGGTGGAGGCTCTCTATGGTTCTTGGGTGGCGTCTTCCCCTCCTCTCAAAAGGGCGAAGGCCGATGCCCCCAGTATCTCTCAGCAGATGGTCATGCTATATCCCGGGAGGCTGGATTTGATGGTGCCCCCATTCTTTCTCAGAACACAGCTCCTTCGAGAGTTGGGGTTAGTCCGGCCACTACTTCAGGAGTTGAGAATCCTGTCCGACCTTCCATCGGAACTAGAGCTCCACATTGTTGTCCTAGTTCAAGCAGTGGTTTAGTGTCCATGATGCAGGACGGGAATCTATCCAAGGAGGGACTTTGGGGGTTTATGACTGCCACGGATATTAGAGAGGTTGGCTCTCAAGGTCTAGAGTGCATTATCAATACCGCGATGGAGGGGTTTGTCATGGTATGCCTTTCTACTCAACTTTTGATTTTGTACATGCCTCATTTCCCTTATATCTTACTTTTTGAATGCTTGTAGGTGGCTGCTGTTGCTTTTTCCTACTTTTTTTGAAGGACGATCAAGTTTGGAGAGGCATTCAAGGATCTGACGAAAGAGAGACAGACACGAAAGGCTACTGAGGAGCAGTTAAGGCTAGAGAGGCAGACTAACAAAGCTGCAGAGGAGCAGTTGAGGCTAGCTCACGAGAGAGTTGCACCTCTTGAGATTGAGCTTTTGGTGTCCCGCAAGAGGGCCGCAAAGTTAGAGACTAATAAGGAGACTACCTGTGCAAGAGCAGAGTTAGAGTTGCGAGTGTCCTACAAGAGAGCCGTAGAAGCTGAGGCCGAGCTACGTATAGCTCGGGAGAGTGCTTCCATGGCAGAGGATGACCTGCAAGTAGCTCGTGAGAAAGCCAGTAGAGCAGAGGCTTAATCCATTGAGATGGAGCTGTAGAGAGAGGTTGCTGAGAGGGCTGTTGTAGACACTTTTATTAATGGTTATAAAGAGTTTAGGGGAAAAGCCTCAGCAATTTTCCTTGCTATTGATTTCTCTAGCTTCGTCCCATATAAAGCCCTAGGGACAGACGATGATGTGGAGCGCCTTGATGAAAGTGGATCAAATAGCAGTGAGTGATCGTCGTGAGTATGACGACTTTTATCTTTTTGTCTACCTTGTTGGTAGGTCATGTTCTGACTTTTGTAAGTTGTTCACAAACTTTATATAATGAAAGAAAGACAGCTCTAGACACAATAGTCTTTGTAAAATATTATTTCATAAAATAATATATAACAAAATAAATCAATTGAAACAACAAATAAAATGAACGTTACAGGCTTGTACCCCTATAGTACCTCTTTAGATGTTCGGCGTCCTATGAATAGGCCAAGGCTTCCCCGTTTCCAGTGTGTTGTCATCCCTAGGTTCGAACACTACCATTTAGAGGGTTGAGAAACGGAGAATAAGGTGATAGGTGGACGATACTGCCTTTAAGGTTTAGAGCGCAAGGCGTCCAATGATGATATTATAGGCAGAGGGGTAGTCTAGCATTATGAAGTTCATTATGATGACAGAGCTTCTTAGTGTTGTCCCTACTATAACTGGCAGGGTGATAGAACCCAAAGGATAAGCCCTCTCACCCAAAAATCTGATGAGGTGCGTTCTAATGGGTTACAGTTTTTTACTGCCTAGACGAAGATTGTCGTAGGCTAGTGCGAATAGGTGTCAGCAGAGCTACCGTTGTCCACCAAAATTCTCTTAACCTGGTAGTTGGCTACCATCATAGTTAAGACCAGAGGATCATCGTTGGGGAATTGGATCCCCTCGAGGTCCCTGCCTAAGAATGAGATAACTTCTTCTTCCCTGTGCCAGGGCATTTTCATCAGGCGAGGATCATTTGACTCTGCCAATCTAGCTTTCCTAGCATGCGCCTTCCTGACAGAGTTGGAGTCACCTCTTCCTTTTAACCCTCCAGAGATCATCTAGATGTCTCTGAAGGGTTGCTGGCGCTTTCTGTCATCCTAGTTTCTATTAGACGGTGGGGCTTGTCCTCTACCAGAAACATACTGTCGCAATTGACCACGCTATATGAGCTCCTCGATCTGTCTTTCAAGATCAAAGCAGACATCAGTATCGTGGTCGTGGTCGCAATGGAAGCGACAATACTTGTTCGAGTTCCCACAGTTCGGGGCAATCTCCATTTTCCCCGGCCAGCGTATCATAGAATCATCCTGTATTTAGTACAGAATATGCTCCACCGAAGTATTGAGTGGCGTACAGGCTTGCCACTTTCTCAAAGTACGGGACCAAGGCGGTCCTTACAGAGACTCTTTGTCCTCTTCCTTTTGTTCTTTGTTTCTTTCTTGGTCTCGCGAGTATCTTTTCTTTTCTCACCCCCGCGGGAGGATTCACCTCGTCTCGCTTTGGTGACGTCCTCCATATTCATGTACTTTTGTGCCCTTGACAACAGCTCAAGCATGCTAGATAGTGGCTTCTTCAGGACGAAAAACATAAAACTCGAGAAGTGCATACCCGCAATAAAACGACCAAGGTTACCTTGTCGTCTGGCTCCTTGATATGGAGAGTCTTCTCGTTAAAACGAGTGAGGTAACTCTTCAAGCTTTTATCCACATCCTGCTTGACAGTGAGAAGGTGAGTAATTGGCTTCTGATGTCCACTTCCCCCGATGAAGTGAGAGACGAAAGACTTGCTTAACTCCACCAAGGAGTGGATGAAAGAAAGTTTGAGCTTGGCGAACCACTCGTGCAAATCCCTTAAGGGTGGTAAGTAAGACTCTGCACATGATCTCGTCAGGCACATTGTACAGCTACATAAGAGACTTGTATGTGTTAAGATGGTCGAGGAGATCCTTAGTACCATCAAAGATCTCCACAGTAGGCATCTTAAATTTTGAGGGTAGAGGGTAGTTAATAACATCCGCCAAAAATGGAGTGTAAGTACGCCTTACCAAGTAATCCATCATCTCTAGCGCCTATACTTTGATGGCGTTGAGGGGCATCGTCAAGCTCGTTTTACACATCCTTAATATTTTCATTGCATTGGTTTCGAACACCCTCAGTCGGATCATGGTAGTAGCTCTCATGATCTGTATACTAGTTCTCCCTGTCCGTCTACTACCCAGGATGGTTGGTAGTGTGTGAGGGTGGAGCAACTACATGAGGAGGAGAAGGAGGAGCATGTGAGGTGCCTGAGCGCTGAGGGGGGACTCCCTAGCAAGGGGCACCCAGGTGTTGTATGGGGGCGCCTTGGCGCCCTGGGTGGAGAGGATGTGGGACCTCCCTTATTAGAGGGAGTGTGGCTCTTCCTGCTTGTTAGGGAGCAACGCCTCCTGAGGCGAGCATCAATTAGAGAATTTGCTAATTTTTGACTCATCAGCAACTGCAAGATTCGCCGCAATTGATGGTTCTGTTAGGAAATTTTCACGAAATTTCCAAACCTATTAGAAACAAAAATAGAGAAAACACGCCAAAGAAAATTAATCACACGCACAAGACAGTATTTACGTGGTTCGACAATTTGCCTGCATCCACAAAGCTGCAGGGATTTTACTATTGAGAATAAGGAATAGAGAGGGAGGTCGTACAATATCAATCAACCCTAATCACAAAAATAACAGTTTTTATATGTTCTGCGTACTACACTACAAAACAAGCCCAACCCTTCGCTCCATGGATTAAGCCTCAAAAAATTTCTCATTAAAAATCATACAACATTATTTCGGGTCAAGTCATCATCCAGATCAACATAAACTAGACTCCACAAAAGCTTAACAAATCTCCCACTTGGAGACTAGTTCAATCACCAACATCAACCGTAATCCTCCAAAAAACAGTTCATCATCCCTACAACTCATCCTCCTGTCCTCAAGCTAGAAGGCCAACTGAAATTACACACAACTTCAGCTTCTCAATAGTGACACCCTTAGTCAACATGTCTGTCGGGTTCTTAGATCCACAAATCTTCTCAAGTATCA